GTAACCAGCGTGGCGGTCGACCTGGGGACTCTGGGAGCGCCTCCGAGAGAGTGCGAGGTGGTGACGTCAGCGGAGGTAGAGGCAGCAGGAGCAGGAGCAGGTAGTGAGCGCTGACCGTGAGTAATGCTCTGACAACCCCCGTGTATCAGCGACGCCCTGAACGCGGCATCGGTTAGCGTGTGACGTTTTCGCTCGTCTCCTTCCGAGAATGACGCTGTGACGCACTCCGTTGCTAGAAATGCCAGGCGCCGAGGCTCTCTCAGCCCGCGAGGTGAAGGTCGGTCAAGACGAAGGTTAGGAGGTGCTGCGTGAGGCATGGGCGTTGCCACTCCGGGAGATTTAAGCTTTTATTTTTGATGTGGGCATCTTGAGTCGAGAGGCGGATTTTGCACTTTAAGAAACATCGTATTCTGAATGAAAGTCAATGATTGCCATGCGTTGAATTACACGTATAAGCATGCTAAGGTTCACCAATAAACTAGTGGTCGTTCCATCGAAGTGCGTACCACCCACGCACTAATTAACAACAGCACTGCATTACACTGATAGTCATAACTATTCCCGCGTATGAATGTTAAAATCACAAGTATGAAAAACAATATTAGAATCATTTGATAATCGTTATAGACTAGACACGTTATCTTTTGAAGAGTATTGTTAACAGAATTGAAGGTTGTTTCGTTAGTTGGCATTCATTAGTATGAGTTAAGCGTTTCTTAGATCATGCAGCCATGAAGTGCAAACTGAGTGCACGCGCAAAGTGCGTCGAGGATTTTGATTTTGATAATGACGTAATGTGGTCATGCATTCATGTTAAAATTCTACCGTTGTAGATTGTTTGTTTGGCTCATTAAGTCCTTTTTTATTATTTTTTTTATCTAGTAAAATCTTTATAGGAACATATATTTTTGTCACAGCTAGTTTTGGAGAAGAAATATCATCTTCATGAATTCCTAATTATTCCTAACCATTCACAATAAACATTCGGTAACATCAGCAATACCATATCTTGCATTCAATGATTCTCAACAAACTAACCGGAGGAGCCAAAAGACAAAATAATCGCGCATTTTCTTCAATTAAAGTGACAAGGATTCACTGGGTGGGATTCACAATAACGACCTTGAGTCAAACTTGGTATGATGACCGAGATGATGACTTGGTATGATGACGCAATCCATCTTAATATACAGAAGGGTTAATTAATCACATTTTTTAAATCATGATATAGTATGACTGAAGGCTAATGAAGCGTAAAGATGTTACGTCACTATGTATATTGAAGTTGATAGAGTAATTAGCAGTGATAATGATATTAGCTATGATAATAATGATTACAATGATAATGATAAGAACAATAATGATGAGAACGAGGGGGAGGGGGAGGAGGAAGGTGATGACAATGACAGTAATAATAGTGATCGTAATGAAAAAAACATCAACAATGCTGCTACTACTAATGATAACAATAACGATGATGATGATGAGGATGAGGATGATGATGATGATGATGATGATAATAATAATAATAATAATAATAGTAATAATAATAATAATAATAATAATAACAATGATTATGATAATAACATTGATAATAATAATAATAATAATGATAATAATAATAATAATAATAATAATAATAATAATGATAATAACAATGATAATGATAACAATGATAATAATAACAATGATAATGGTAATGGTAGAAAAAAACACAAATCAATAATTCTAGTTTTACATTGTGGGTTTTTCTTCCATAGTATCAACACGGTAGTGTATTTTACGTTTCAATAATGATAATGATATTGATAATGATAATGATGACGATGATGATAATAATGATAACACTGATATAATACTATTGCTAATAACTATGATAATGATAATAACAATAATAGTAAAATCAAGAAAATAACAACAATAATACTAATGATAATAATAATAAGAAGAATATTAATAATAATAATAACTGTAATAGTAGTAATAACAATAACAGCATTAATAATAATAATGATAATAATAATAATAATAATAATAATAATAATAATAATAATAATAATAATAGTAATAGTAATAGCAATAAAAACAATAACAGCATTAATAACAATAGTAATAATAATAACAATAATAATAACAATAACAATAATGATAATAATAACAATAATAATAATAATAATAATAATAATAATAATAATAATAATAATGATAATAATAATAATGATAATAATAATGATAATAATAATAATAATAATAATAATAATGGTAATAATAATAATGATAAACAATGGTCACGATAATAATGATATTGATATTAACAACGATAATGGTAATAACTTTAGCAGGTAGTAAGCTTTTGCAATTGCCAAGATGCTCTGACGCGGAAGCTCCTTGGGTGACCTTAGGCAGATATTGATATGTAATGAAGGGAATTCGATCTCCTTTTGAATTGACTATAAATGTCTCGTGGAAAGGATTCATAGAATGAATGACGTAAGTGGAGGTTGGTTGGATAACGAAAGACAGAATTAGGATAAATGGTGATTATGATTTTTTTTCTCTCTCTCTCTCTCTTTTTCTTTTATTTTTATTATCTCTTCCATTTTATCATTATCGGTTTCTTTTCTCTTGGCTCTTCCATTCTGTTTTCCACAACTCTCCTTTTTTTTTGTTTAATATGCAGACTGTATTTTCACTGTCCTTGACGTCTATTTTTCTCCCCCTTTTCTCTCTCCTTCTCTCCCCTATTTAGTTTTTTTCTAATCGTCTCTCTATTTTTCTGTTCTTTTCTTCTCCTTCTTATCTCTCATTTTCCTCTTCCGCTCTCTTCCCCTTACTTCCTTTCCTTCCCTTTTTTCTTCTCTCTATGTTCATCCTCTCTGTCCATCTCCTTCCCTTACTATCTTCTTCTTCCTTGTCTCACTCTCACTCCTTTCTTTCTCCCCTTTCGCCTCTCTACTATTTTCCCTTCATTCGTATTCCCATATCTTTAGTCTTTCTTAGTCACTATTCTTTCTCTCTATTACCCCTTTCCTTTCTTATATTCATCCTCTTCATCTACTTTTTCTATTTCATTTCCATTATCTCCTTCCTCTTTTTATCTCTTATCTTAGTTTCTCTAATCTTCCTCTCCCTCTCCCGTCCCCTCTTTCTTTTCTTTTTTTGTTTCTCCTCTATCTTTCCCTTCTCTTAATAAACTTCCTCTCTATTTTCTCCCCCTTCTTCCGTCCCTCTTTTAATTTTCTATCTTCTATTTTTTTTCGGCCATTCTCCCTTTTCTTCCTCTTTCTTCTTTCTCCTTTGTCTTCCTCTTCCTCTCCCATTTTCTTTTCTTCCTCCCACTCTCCCATTTCTTCTCCGTGCTCTCCGTCTCTCCCATTTCCACTTCTTTTATCTCTTCGTCTCTTCTTTCCCCTCCTCTTCCTCATCCCCTCTTCCCTTCATTATTCTTTTTCGCTCCCCTTCTTCTAAATATCCCTCTGCCTACTTTCTCTCGCTCCTCCCCGACTCTTTCACTTCCAATCTGAACACTAATCACAAATACATTAGTCTCTTCTTATCTCTTATCTTATCTCTATATTTACTAACCGTTTTCTCTTCTGCACCCCCTCCTCACCCTCCTCCTCCCTTTGGTTCTCTATTCTTTGATTTCTTTACCTTCTATTTTCCTTTCCCCTACCCTTCCTTCCCCTACCCATTACCCCTCACTCCTTTCTGTCTTCCACAATCATTTGCCACTTCTCCTTCCCTTCTCCTTGCCCTTCTTCTCTCACCTTCATCAATTCTCTTCTCCTTGTCTTCGTTATCACCACGATGCCCCATCCTGTTCCTTACCCCCTCCTTTTCTCTCCTTTCCCCCACCTTATGCCTCCCTCCGTCTACTTTCTCTCATTCTTGCCATCCCCCTTTTCCTACTTCCATTTTTCCTTCACCCCATCCTCATTTTTTCCCTCTCCCTTGCCCCCCCTTGCTCCCTTCCTCCACCTCCCTTCCCGTAGTCTTTCCCTCCCCCCCCTCCCTTCCACCTTCCCTACGCTTTCCCCTCCCACACATGCCGCCTCTCCCTTCCCTCAGGGATCGGATGCGAGTCTGCTGCGGATGCGCCATGTCCACTGACCGACACACTAATCATGATGCCTCGACGACGCCAGCAGTTACCTCCCGGCGAGTCAAACAATTGATGTATTCATTTTCGGAGATGGGAGAGAAAGGGAATGGGGATGGAAGAATGGAAGGGAGAGGCAGAGGGAGAGAAGGAGAGGAGAGAGGGAGGGAGGAGGGAGGGAGGAGGGAGGGTGGGAGGAGGGAGGGTGGGAGGAGGGAGGGAGGAGGGAGAGGGAGAGGAAGAGAGGGAGGGAGGAGGGAGAGGAAGAGAGGGAGGGAGGAGGGAGGGAAGAGGGAGGGAGAGAGAGAGAGAGCGAGAGTGAGAGAAGAGAGAGAGAGAGAGAGAGAAGAGAGAGAGAGAGAGAGAGAGAGAGAGAGAGAGAGAGAGAGAGAGAGAGAGAGAGAGAGAGAGAGAGAGAGAGAGAGAGAGAGAGAGAGAGAGAGAGAGAGAGAGTGAGAGAGAGCGAGAGAGAGTGAGTGAGTGAGTGAGAGTCGGGTGCAAAGGTGGGAGGGATTCCACCTGACGCAAGGGACGTGTCGCAACATCTCAAAACTGGATTGTAAGTGTCATGAAGATGCCTCTGACCTAAGGGGGGAGAATGGGAGGGGGGATCGTATAAACCCTGGCCTCACAATGGCTTAGCGTAGTGGGGGAGAGGAAGAGGGAGAGGGAGAGGGAGAGGGAGAGGGAGAGGGAGAGGGAGAGGAAGAGGGAGAGGAAGAGGGAGTGGGAGAGGGGAAGAGGAGACGAGTGATATCAGTAAACAAATGAACAATGTCGCCGCCCGCAGTCCCGGTGCCACGGCCAAGGCGACACCACTCGTGTGGGCGTAGTTTGGGCGTGTCGCTTTGTCTCGGGAGGAAGGAGACGTCGTGACTGTGGGCGGAGTGAATGAGGGCGTGGTGCTGAGTAGGAGGCGTGGGTGCAAAGATAGGAGAGAATAAGAGAGACAAAGAAAGCAGCAAAAGAGAATGCGGAAATGGAGGTGGAGAGAGGAA